AATTTTCTTATTTTATTTAAATTTCATTCAAAAATCTCTTACTATTTATATATATAAAAGGGATCAAATATGTCCAAAAGTAAAAAAAGTAATGTAATTGTTATAAATGTATAAATTAATAAGATAGTAAGTTAAGCTCTTAATTTATTTAATTTATTAATTGTTATTTTTGAAGTATAAAATATTATCAACTGATTAATTTTCTCTTTTTCATATATACAGAAATCTTTTCAAAATGTGAAAATATGAAAATATCTCGAATGTTTTCAAAATAAAAATAAAATTGACAATTTTGATTTCTTTTATAAAAGACGTAATTAATAATCACAGATTCAAAATCCTTGCAGAAGTTCCCTTACAACGATATTGTCCCGATTGTGGAAGATGATCAGTGGAAGGGTGTGAAAACTTGCACGATGGACAGCTTGGTGTGGCGTCTATCAGTCGTTGCAGCACACTGCACGCACAATCTTGGGGGCGCAACCGCTCTGGCCCAACTCTGGCATGAATTTGTGCAAGAGATCAGATTCCGGTGGGAAAAGAATGTCCTGATACCTGGGTAAGTACTGAGTAGTAATCTCTTTATTTGTCAGTACGTTGGACGATGAATCGTCTTCATTATCAATGTATGCGCATGTAGATACACGTGCGAATACATTTGTTATAAAATAAGGTAAAGTCAACAGAGAAAACTGTCAAGTTTCTCATGACATTTCGCGTTATACCTCTCATTCAAAGCGATTAGCAGTGTCTTCACAATATATCAGTTCACTTGGTCGCGGTAGCTTTTCTCTAGAGATAAACACTTTGATTACAGTCTTTGGATAATATAATCGCGAAGTTCGCCGTGCGAAAGTAAACATTTGGAAGTGCATGCACTTGAATCTGAAAGAACATTCTCGACTCATTCGTTCCAACAATTTTGTAATTAAAAATATTTTTACTTAAGATTACTTAGAGTTACACAGGGATGTACATCTAAGGCGCTTCTGTAACACTAGTAATTCTAACATTCGCAATGTTGCACGCATTTGACAGCATTACATAGTAATGCCTGTCGCGTTAACATTATGATTGGAATTGAATAAATTTCGAAGCATGTTAAATTCCATTTTCCTGTCACATGAACATATTTTCAATATTTTATATAAAGTTCTACGATATATTATTACCATCGCGATAAACATTTTCTAAAAAGGGGAATTGGGATTTAGCTCTTCTCGCTCGAGCAGAATAATTGTCTAGATTTAGAAAGATCATCTAGATTTAAAAATTGCGCTGCGAACGAAAACAATCTATTAAGGGGATCTTAAAGTGAAGCTCGAACCGACGAAATCGCTGTTTTACTGATAAGATGCAACACATCAACACATTTTTACTATTACATTACTGTTGCACACATATACATAAATTTTTGTAAAACGATTCAATTAGATGTTTAAAACTTAATCTGCAGTGTGTTTTTTGCTTTCTTGCTTTTTACCTCGTGCCTTTTTTCTTCTTTACGATCGTTTTATCAACTCGCATTTTTTTTCACGTGTTTATTGTCTCTTCCGAACGTCATCAATTTTTATTTCGGGACAGAAAACGAAAAACTGGGTAAGAGGCGAAAAGGCAAAAAAGTAAAAAGTGATAAAAAGCAAAAAACAGGAAATAAAGAGCATTTTCGATAGGTTCAAGTTTAATTCTAAGAATTCTATATTATTTTTTCGTGTAATCTTTATTAGTCTGCAGTCTCCAATTTCGTAAATTGCAGAGCTTTTATATCAAACAAATGTTATCACGATTTGACAGTTCAAGATGTCACATTGAATTAAAAAATGGTAAAGATCTCTTAATTTCGAAAATTTTTATCGTTCTTGAAAATTCTAAGCTGCAGACTCGATTAATGCACTTTAATTCTAGAGAAGGATTTCCAAATTATAAAAGTAATATACACGTATTGTTCTACGAAAATTATTGAGTTCAATCTGATATGAAATCGTATGTATGTCCTACTTTAAGATCCGTTAAGGGGATCCTGAAGTCGTCTGTTTTACTGATTCAGTAGAACTTACACACATATGATTTATCATTGACA